GGAGGCCCTTCAGCCCGGCTCATTTGCATACATTAGCCTAGGGTGCTGCTATGCTAATGAGCGCCCATGACGGGCTTGAAGGAATCTGTCCCCGCTCGGACAGGGCGCGGCGGGTGGGACTACACCCCCCATCATCCACCGCCGTGGTGGCTGTAGGGCCCATAATCCACATAATTTCCCCCCGGGGGCACTTCGTGGCCTCCTGTTGCCCAGCGCCTTTGACCCTTGCAACACCCGTGCGAGGTAGGCTGGGCTGAGAGGCCATTGCAACCTGGGCAACCGAGGGGCTCTTGAACCCGGCTCCTGATTGATTGATTGATTGATTGATTGATTGATTGATTGATTGATTGATTGATTTGAACCCGGCTCCTCTAGACAGCTTGGACTGGAATACCCAGAAATCCCAGCCAGCAGCCTCTGGGTGATTCTGGGGATGAGAATCGAGCTCTGATTGCATCCTGACTTGGTGCCAGTGGATCTTCTCTCATCCTGGCATTTGCTGCCAACGGACAGCGCTTCTCTGCCTGGAGCAAAGCCTGGGCTTGGATTGCCTGATTTTCTTGAAAATGTTACCTCTGAATTTGAAAGCCATGAGGATGCAAATGGTAGCCTAGGCTGGATGCTTTATTTCATTCATTCATTGATCCTACTAGGCTTCAATCACCTCATACTCTAAGCAGTCTACAGATTTCCAGAATGGCAGTAAGGTTAAAACGTAATCAACATGGTCATAAATAACATCACAGACTCCGAGGAACAACCTTAACGCAATTCTTGTCATCCCCTTGGCTTCAGAAGATTATTGGTATCTCTCTTTTATTTATTTTTTGGTGTCTCCAAGTCAGCTTTTGATTCCTGGCAACTGCCTGGACAAGTCCCTGCAATTTTCTTGGCAACTTTTTCAGAAGTGGCTTTGCCATTGTTTCCTTCCTAGAGCTGAGAGAGAGTGACTGGCCCAAGCTCACCCAGCTGGCTTCGGCCCAAGATGAGACTAGAACTCACAGTCTCCCTGTTTTTAACCTGGTGCCTTTAACCACTACCCCAATGTGTGTATTTTTTCAAATACCTTCCAACCTTTCTACCAAGGTGAAAGAGGTTTGGTGGACAAGTTGACAAAAGCTAAATTTGTCCAATATTAGCAAAGGGATTTGTATGTTTACACAGGAATATTCTACATTTTTCATTTGTTTCAAAAATGTTGTATTTTGATAAATAGAAATTTAGTAGAAGAAATAAGAAGCAGAATTATAATGACATCTGTAATGACATTGAAGATGGAAACAGATGTGGGAAAAAAAGAGTCTTTCAAAAGATCTCTGAACTCAGGAGGAGGTTCCAACTTGAATTGGTATGCTAAAGTATGCCAATGGACAGATACTAACCGAATCAAGAAGATCGAAAGAAGATGGAAGCAATATACTGAAACACTATACAGTAGAAACGTCAACATCCAAGATACCTTAGAAGATATTCCTTACTTACAAGAATCTCTAGTATGAGAAAATGAAGTTAGATCAGCATTCCAGTCATTACCAAATCAGCAGGCTACAGGAACCGATGGAATACCCACTGAAATATGCTAAGCAACAGAAGAAGAATCAATCAAGGTTCTAACCAAGCTATGTCAGCAAATATGGAGAATGACACAGTGGGAAAAGACTGGAAGAGGTCAATCTACATTCCAATGCCAAAAAAAGAAGACTTAACAGAGTGTGTAAACTATTGTGCAGTATCCACATTTCACATGCCAGCAAACTAATGCCTGGGATCTAGATTAGAGCGCTGCATGGACAAAGAAGTGCCAGATGTTCAAACTGGCTTTAGAAAAGGCTGAGGAACACGAGGCATTATGCTGATGCACACTGGATGGGAAAGCCAAAGAATATCAAAATTATTTATTAGTTGTGTAGACTGTGTGTCAGCTCTTTGAGTCAGGCTGGGTCAGGAAACAGATTCCTCAAGAATGATGAACTAAATTTATTGACACAGGCTATAGTAACAGAATCTTGAAAGCCTGATTGTGTTTTATCTTTATCTTTTATCTCTTATACCCCAGGGAGTTAAGGCTGAGTTGAGTTGAGTTGAGTTGGTTTCTACTGTTTTCTTCAAGTCCCGGGCTTAAAACTTGTTTTTGTAACTGTCACCACATTGTTTCTTCAAGATCATCTCTGTGCCTCTCCACACCATGAAAAGTGTGAAATATTCTTAAGAAAATGGGAGTCTCATTTCATTTCATTTCATTTCATTTCATTTCATTTCATTTCATTTCATTCTCCTCATGAGAAATCTGCACACAGGGCAGGAAGCCATAGTCTGGATGGAACATGGTGAAATAGACTGGCTCCAGGTTGGCAAAGGAGTGAGACAGGCTCTGTCCTTATTTATTCAACCCCCATGCTGAATATATGTGTGTGTGTGTGTGTGTGTGTGTAAAAAGCTGGATTGGAAAAATATGACCATAGTTTTAAATTTAGAGGAAGAAATATCAGTAACCTGGGCTATACTGATGACATTACTTTGATCGCTGAAAATGCAAATGATCTGCAGTCTCTAGTAATGAAACTCAAGGAGAAAAATGGGACTAATATATATAAAGAAGACCAAACTAATGACAGCAGGTACCACAACCAGCCTTAGAACTGACAACAAAGATATTGAAGTGGTAAATAGCTTCTGCCTTTTGGGATCAAATGTCAACAGTAAAGAAACCAGCAGTCAAGAAATATGCTGCAGACTAGCACTTGGTAGAGCAGCCATGAAGGCCTTGGAAAAGAGATTCAGGTGCCAGGATGCCTAAGATCAGAATTGTGCAGGCAGTGGTGTTTTCTATGATGCTCTATGAAATGAAAGTTGGACTCTAAAGAAGCAGGAGAGGAAGAGTGTTGATGCTTTTGAACTTTGATGTTGGAGAAGACTCCTGAGAGTTCCATGAGCCAACCAATGGATCATTGAACAAATCGACCCAGAGTTCTCCCTCAAGGCCCGCACGACCAGGCTCAAATTATCCTACTTCAAGCATATTATGTGAAGACCGAGCTCTCTGGAAAAGTCTATAATATGGTGAAAGGTGGGATGAGGGACGAGGGAGAGGAGGAAGACCAGCAACAAGGTAGATGGACTCGATTACAGTGGCAGTGTGTGCACTGTTGGAAGACCTGAAGGATCAGGTTGGGGACAGATCATCCTGAAGAAGGTCTGTCTGTGTGATTGCTAAGGGGTGACACTGACTTGGTGGCACATTATCAACAGTCAAGAAGAAATAATATTTTAATGGGACTATGACTTTCTAGGTAATTGCCAGCATAATTTGTAAATCATTACTGGAAATAGCCTGTTTTTAGCTAACTTTCTTTGGCATGTTATGAAAGAGGACTTGGATTTTTAAATGGTACTTGTCCGGAGTAGCAGTGATATACTTTGTCAAAGTTCTACATATGTCCTATTCTTAAGCAGTGCGATAGGCCTGTTTTAGGCCTGTGTTTGAATTCTGATCATTCAAGGAATGTATAAGGGGGCCTTCACAGTGCAGTGTGATTAGTTAGGAGTTATATGCTGGTGTGTTACTCAACTAATTTCTGTTTCAGTCTTTAGAAACCAGCTGTATCGATCTCAGCGGGCCTTCCATCCCGCAGTTGCACTGCAAAGAGCTTCAGAAGAACAGAAACAGCCCCCCTTCCCACCTCCCAATCAGCAGCATTCAGAGCCTCCACCGGTGGATGAAAAGCATGATGCAAAGCATCCAGACTCACACCATAGGTAATCTGCATAATTTCTGTCCAAAATGACTGTGAGCTTTCTTCTTCCCCCAAAGAAGCGATTCTTTGCTTTGGAAAATATAATACATATTTTTAGTGAGTAATTTAGAAGCTGGCATTCTTCCATCTCACACCGAGGATGTTGCAAGCAGCATTCAGATGGGCAACTGAGCAATTTTGTAAACAACACATCTCCAGAATTATTGGGTGTGGCATCCATGCACTTGTAAACATTCATAGATAAATACTGGCTAGATTTATACAAATGCTAAGCCATAATGTAGTTTATTTGATTTATGTCTTAACCTTTATATGAAAACTGCCAATAATGATTAAGCCAAAAATACTGTGCCTAAACAAGCCATGGTTTAACCAACCATTTATCAAACAAAGGCACGCACTGTTTCACAGTGACATCAGTTATAATTAGGAAACATAATAAAGTTGTGGACTTTTTAGTATTTAAGAGTGCTTGTAAATCATGCCTTCCTGCGCTTTTATCCCTAGTTACACAGATCAGGGCGGGGAAGAATCAGAGGGCTATGAGAGTGAGGAGCAGCTACAGGGTCGGATCCTGACAGCAGCTCTGGAATTTGTGCCTACCCACGGCTGGACAATGGATGCAATTGCAGAAGGAGCTAAGGTTCGTATCAAGAGAGCCAGCATGTTAAGAAACCCACGGGCATCTGTGCTTTACTTTAACTGAGTTCCAAATTCACATTATTATTGTTCTTTGAGGTTGCTAAGAATTTGCTGATGAAGAACTTTGAATTCTGTCCAGAATTAACATTTTTAACTCCTTGTTATTGGGACTTAGATGCAAGAAATTTCTGAAGCTTGCCTCTCAGTATCCCCGATTATAGGACATTTTGCTTGCTGTTTTTTCCTCCATGTGACAGGAGGCAGCCTTGAGGATCTGTACTCACATAGTGTGTGGATGTTGAGTATTGATGCAGCATAGTGGATCAGGTTCAGGATCCTTGAGGATTTACAGTGCAGAGCAGAATTGCCTGTTTTCGCTACATGAAAGTTACTGGATACCTGGGATAAAGTTGTTTGGTGGGGCAAGAGAGACACTAATGCCGCTGGAAAGGGGAAAAATTAAGGATGGAACTTTACACATTCAGTCCTGAATGCTACACATATATTATCTCAATACTTCTGAGAGAACCCTGGCAACTTGGTCAGTATTCTCATATTGCAAAGAGGATCTGAAACGGTTTCTTGTCTAAGGCTAAATTTGCTCAACATATTTAAGTTGCTTCCTCCATTGACACATTTTCTGGACTAAACACATAGCTAATCAAATGGTCCAATTTCCATGACATGCAAAGCCAGGAAAAAAAGAAAGAAAGATGGTTAGAATTCACCAAACTAAGCACCTTGTTTGAATGCAGCTGCCAGTTCTTTAATAGACTGGTTGAGTGTGTGGTCTGAACTAGACAAATTTGTAAGAAAAGTGTCATTCAGACTCATGACATCCTAATTTGCCATTCCATTTGTCTTGCCCTCTGCATCATCACTATGCTACTTTCCAAAGATAAGTTATGCTAAACTAGTACTGCTTCATTTGTAATCCCTGCTTCTTTAAAGTTAACAGAAAATAATTCCTCAATTGCAATTGTCCTACTCAACCTTTCTCCCTCCCTCCCTTCCTCCCTTCCTTCAGTCCCTAGGTCTTTCCGTTGCTGCAGCAGGACTATTTCACAATGATGGCAGTGAACTGATTCTCCACTTTGTGTCCCGGAGTAACTCCAGACTCTCTGAACTTCTTGAGGAACAGCACAAGCTAGTACAACTTGGCCAAGCGGAGTAAGTCCTAGGCAGAGCAAGGGAAGGGGCGGTGCTATGTTAGCTGTCTAGGCAACGATGCTTGGGATGGTAGTTGCACTGAGGCACAGGAAGGTCACTCCAAAATGGTGCTTTGACAGGTAGCCTGTCTTGTTCATCTTGAGTACTGACCTTGAGCAAGAGAGACAGGCAGGAGTGAATTGCACTAAATAATTATTCTCTCTTGGAAGGAAGAAGAAGACAGATGAGTTTATAAAGGATGCCTTAGAAGCAAGGCTGAGAATGCTCATTCCGTATATTGAAAAATGGCCTCAGGTATAAAACTAACCTGCTTTTCTTGATGTTCTTGAAGTGTTCCTAGCATTATCTCGATGCGTTGATGGATATGTTTTTTAGAACAGAGAATGTTGGTGGATGAATGCTTCTCTGTTTGGAAATGAACAGGGAGTTTCCTACTTGGGGGAGGTAGCAGGAAGAAAACATGTCTTTTTCCCCCCCTTTGTGAATGGCGGGGGAACCCCATTCACAAAGCCTGAACTGCAGTATAGATCTCCTTTTCTAGCTTGAATGGACCACTAAAGAGGTGCTTTTGTCTGGAGAGTGAAGACATATGGCAATGCAGAAGTTTTGTTCCTTGTTGCTGCCTTTCTGTGATTGGTTCTTTGTGACTTGCTGAAACAGATTTTAAAAGACTTCTGGGCCATAAGGAATGCAATGACATTCATCAAGTTAAAAAAAGATGTGTGTGTTATACACACACATACACACACGAACACGTGTATATATAAGAGCCGCAGAGTGGTGTAATGGTGAAGGTGCTGGAATAGGAGCTGGGAGCTGGAAGTCCAAATCCACCCTCAGCCATAGGAGCTCCCTGTGGGACTTTGGTCCAGTCCCTCTTCTCAGTCCAAGAACCAACAGGGTGTGGTGGTGAAAGTGCTGGACTAGGAGCAAAAAGACCCAGGTTCTAGTCCCCCAACTCAGTCACAGAAGCTCCCGGGGATTTTGGGTAAGTCCTTCCCTCTCAACTCAAGAACCAGGGTGGGGTAGCAGTGAAGGACTGGGAATGGTGAGACCCTGGTTCCAGTCCCCCTTCAGGCCAAGAAGCATTTGGGGGGACTTGGGGCCAGTCATTTTCTCAGCCCAGCCTACCTCACAGTATTAGAGATAGACTAGGCTGAGAGCCTCCCTCCAGAGCCCTTTGGAGTTGGGTGGCTTAATCATTCAAACAAACAAACAAACAAACAAATAAATAAAATTACTGTGAGGAAAAATATGAAGAGGGAGCACCATGTTGGCTGTCTTGAGTTCCTGTACAAGAGGCAAGACTATAATATATAAATAGGTAATAAATATATTCACTTCCGATCAGATCAAATTTGTCAGGCAATCTAGCTGCTCCTAGATTGCCCGAGAACTCAGTGCCTTATGATACTGGGAGAAAAGAAACAAAAACACCTGCTCTTCCTGCTTAAGCTTTTTGGCTGAGAGCAAAAGGCACTATGGGAAGCGTTCAAGCTCTCAAACAGAGGAGGACCCTCTGTCTCCCTGGCCTAATTTAATTTATCTTGCAAGTATACCCCGTTTGGTATCCAGGACCTTGTTTAGCCCCTCTTGTTTGTTTCTCTCCCAAGAAGGGCTTGGTTCTGCCCTTTCCCCTCCCCATCCCTTGCTTTACCCTGCTATACCAAAAGTCTAGACTAGCACTTAGAAGACCAAAACGTCTGGAGGTTTGTAGGTTAAGAATGGTCCTTTCTGCTTAACTGATTTCTCTGGATTTCCTTAGGCTATGAGTGTGTTGTTGTTGCCACACAATATTCCATCCAGCCTCAACCTGCTTACAACCATGGTGGATGACATCTGGCACTATGCAGGAGATCAGTCCACTGATGTAAGTCTGAGCAGGACGTTAGCATTGCATTTGGGGTTTAGAAAGGCCTGGGAAGGCTTAAAGTATGCTGCTTTGTATGGCAAATATGTTTTGGGCTATCTTTGAGAAAAATGTTGCTGTTCAAGGAGTTGGGAATAGGACATACACTGGCTGGGTTCACACATTGGGCTAGAACCCACTGTGTGACTTTGGCTCTGGCTTAGCATAATATGTATGCCTATTCATTGTGGCTTGTAAACCATGGCTTATGGCTTAGAGAGATGTGCAAATCCGCCTGTCTTGACTGCATTCATTTAGTTCTTGGCCCTTGATGTCTTAGAAGTATGCACAGCAGAAATGGAAGCAAAACGGGAGATTGGGCTGGATCGGTGTGACTTCATGCAGGGCTGCAGAAAAGTTCTCATTCCCACCTGCTGGGCTTAAGCTGCTGTGGACTGAGGGTAGAACACATCTACAGGCTTCATGTAGTTCAGAGTAGTCAGTGTTTCTAATCATCCCATAAATCATATAAATTTAATAAATAAAATCCTGGCAAACTTGTTTTCCAGGGAACCCATAATTAAGTGAGATATTGTACACAACACTCATTCTTAGTTTCTAAAAAGAAAAGGAATAGATCCATGAACAAAAGACAAGGGCAAAGGAACACCTGTTAATTGTAAGAGTGGTTTGGGGATCAGGCAGTATCAAGGCTACACTGGTTCTTATGTGGATCAGCAGGTGTGTTTTGTTTTATAAATTAAAATTAGCTTTTTCTGTTCTGTGCCACAGACCAGGTTGTAATGTAGTGATATCCTGGGTATGGCTGCGTTTCTATTTTTGCCTGTCTTTCTAATATTTATGAATCACTGTTTCTTTCTTGAAGACATCTAAAGTTATACATAATGAAACCTTATAAAAACCATTAACACTGTCGAACTGTAAATCAAATCAAAACAGATAACACTTTTACAACTGGTTTAAAGCTGCCAATAAACAAACAGCTGTACTGTATTCAAGTTTTCATGTTGGAATTGCTCTCTTTTGGTAGAATTCAGCAAATAGGGGTGGGAGTCTTTATCTAAGGGGCACCCAGAGGGGAACTGGGCATTTGCCTGGTTGAAACACAGTTCTGCTGCCAGGCTCCCCCTCCATCCAGGATGTTAGAAAATGAAAGATTCTGTTTGAAAACTTTTAAGCAGTTACCTAAAATACCCAGCGCTTAATGATAAGAGCCATTGGATTTTTTGGCTGGAAATAAAAACAAAGTAAATTACATCTTAATTAAAGCAATTAATGAACTACTTGACCTATTATAAACAGAAGAAAGGGATAAGAAGAGCTTAGCAGGTCTTTTTAATAAATGGTTTTAATAAACTTGTGCAAGAATAAAACAGCAGCTACTGCAGTAACAAATAAATAGCACACAGACAAATTAAAGGAATAAACCAGAAAGCCAAATAAAAGACAGAGATCACAACAGGAAACTAAAGTTTTTCTTGGAGTATGCAAATTGTAGTGGAGCTTTTAAGAAATTCAGCTTCAACAAGAGTGGCTGGTTTACTTTTTTCTCCTTCTGCTCTCTTGGAAACTGGGAAAAAAATACATATTTGCTGTTACCAATTTATCAGTGCAGCTCTTTGGGGTAGCTCAAGATGCAACATTTATGGAGCTGAAAATGGATGCCCTTTTCCACTTTGGATAACATTGAATGGAAAGTGAAAGTCTGCTTGGAAAATGTGGGCCTGCTTCCAAGTTACCTGGCTCTCAGTCAAGATTTATGAGAAAATTGTTCTTAGCTCCATGATGCCTGAGGAACCTGTGTAACTTGTATTGTAAAATCACCCTCTCCCCTCAGTCACGTTTGGCCCAGTAGGAAATGGCTGACGGGTCCCTGCTTTAGCAGTCCTCTCCCTTCTGGTTTAATGGATGTAGCTTGGAGCCTGGCTCCTAAACATGCAATTCAAATGTCTCCTTGGTGAGGAATCTATGGTGGTATTATGAATAATACCATTGGATGTGTGCTTTGAGGCAATGCAACTGCCACTTGCACAGATCTGAGCTGGCCACACTTCTAGCATTGCTGCTGACACACTGAAGCAGCCTATTCCTATTGTATGTCTTTATATGCATAGATTTTCTTAGCTATAGTCAAGTTTCTGTCGCACTTTGAAGGAAGTATGGGCATTCATAGAAATTCTGGATATGATTCATTATGTCTATTCATCATAGATAAGTGTTGGGTAACTTCTATTGGCAAAGTTTCTTTTCCAGTTCAGTGACCACCCTTATTTTTAGTGCTATAGTGCAGTTATAGTACTAACCTAGACAGAAGTAGAGACTACTAGGTTCAGCGGGTTGCACGTGTATAAGTTGTTACAAGATTGTAGCCTCTTACAGCAGAATATTGATTCCTGTGCTATCTTTCAGACTTGTATTTTTCCATAGGGTTTCATAGTGTGTGTTTATTAACTGACCAAAACCAAAATTATCTGACCAAATCTTGCAGTGATGTGCTAATTGTCAGATAACAAAGGTTATGGCCAGCCTGTTTTTCAGCTCACCTGAGAAACCCCAACATCTGGTATTTTCTACAGACCAATCAAAATCTGCTGGGACTCATCCAGGGACTGGATGATTTTTATTTGTAAATTCGGCCAGCTCTGTCCCAGGATAATATTTCAATGCTTCTGTAGGTTTTTGTTTCTCTCAATGACTTAATAGGAGCAACATTACACTATGCAAAATAAAAATATATTTCCATATTAATTGAATTTTTAGATTTTTTTCAGGTTTTCGGAACGTACTTTTCTTGATTCAGGACACAGTATGTTCAGCCAGAAACCTAGATGTGTCTGCTTTGTTTTTGTTTTTGTTTTTATAGACACTCTAGTTGCGATAAAAACATGGATAGGAGTTTCGTATCAATGTAGTTTGTAAAACCTTAATTTCTTACTGGTATTTGCATCTGAGTCTCTTAATTCCTGGTCTTGCAGATAAATTGGTACACTCGCCGAGTAGTGCTGGCTGGAATTTATAACACCACAGAGCTGGTGATGATTCAGGATTCTTCCCTGGATTTTGAGGAGACTTGGTCCTTCCTACAGAACAGAGTTGCTGATGCAATGAATATGGGCCACACAGCTAAACAGGTGAGTTGTAATTATGAATTTATAACCAGCTGACCCTTGTGCCGTGCAGGTTTTCCATTGACATGATCAAGCTCTCTCTCCCCCCACCCTCCAAAGTCACAAAAATAACTTAATGTCATTAATGTGAACTAGTTTTTTTTTCTAACTTGGTCTCCTCCAAAGGCTGACTGGAAATTTTGGGAGGTGAAATTCCAACCAATTTAGGGGGAAAACCTGCTATAAACCAAGTAATTGTTGATCAAGAACACAGTTTATTCCTAGTATTATTTTTACTCAAAGATTTCTGGCACATGGTGTCCCAAGCACCTAAAAATATCACATTCCTCTTATTACTGCACATCTTTCAAGCAGTTTTCTGTAAATTTCCATTTTCTAGTGCCTAAAGTATTTATGAGCACATTTTCATGTTCCTCTGGTTTGGGGACATCGTATGAAAATCCATGTATATTCTGAAGTCTTATTGCTTGTGGGGGAGGGGGGATTGAAACCTGTACTCCTTCGGATAGTTATGAGTTTAATACATGGCTTGGGAGCGTTTGGCTACAGAGCAGGGGTTATGCAAAAGTACACAATAACTGTGCAACTGCAATGTAGAGCTACCATTTCTCTCCCTCTGTTCATTATATATTGTGGTGGAAGTGCTGAAACCAGAGAGTGGAAGGCTGTGGGGTTCAAACTTCCCCTCCCAGAAGCCCTCTGGGGCTTCACACCCTGTCCCCACCTCCCACTGGTTCCCGCTGCTGCTACCTATCTTCCAGGGAGTGTTTCACCTAGCCTCCCCCAACCATAGTGTGTATAGAGAACTATGAAGATGGCCTTCATGAAAATATGCAACACCCATTAGGAAAACATGAACCTAGCCCAGGAAAACAGGAAACAGAGAGAAAGAAACTCAAGATTGCCTTACCTTGACTCTCTGGTATAAGAGAGAAGAAAGGAGAAACACTCTCAGGCTCTCAAGATTCTGTTATTTTAACCTATGAAGTAGTGTTTTAGTATTTCTTGTGTCTGTTTCCTGATCTGGTCTACCTCAAAGGGCTGACAGTGTGAGAGATAAGGCTTTCACAGCCTGGGCTGCCTTTCTGGAGATTACAAGGTCAAAAAAGCAAACATTGAAATAATTTTAACAATACAGGTAGTCCTCACTTAATGACCACAATAAGGACTGGAAAACTGGTTGTTAAGTGGGGTTGTTGTTAAGTGAGTCACCATGTGACCAGACCCAATTTTACAACCATTTTTACAACGGTTGTTGAGCAAATCACCATGGTTTTTAAGCGAATCTCATGATCATTAATCGAATCCAGCTTCTCCAATGGACCTTTTTTGCCAGAATTCGCTTAATGACCACATGGTTTGCTTAATGACTGTGGTGACTCTCTTAACAACTGTCATAAAAAAGGTCACAAATCGCGATCATGTGGCCGTGGGGGTTGGTGCAACAGTTTGTGATGGTCATAAGTGCGAGTACAGGTCGTAAAGCACTTTTACCAAGGCCATCGTAACTTCGAACCGTAGTTAAATGGACGGTCGTTAAGCAACAACTACCTGTACTGCTGCTTAGCTATGTAACTTAGAAATGTGTGGCTAGAAGTTTCAGACTTTCCTTCCTTGCTTGAGGGATAGACCCTCAAGGATCAGAAATAAAAGCAGAAATAAAACCAAACTTTCTTTAAAAAAAAAAAAGATATAAAACATACCCTCCCAACCTTTTCAACTTTAAATGTTAAAATGGATACATTCAATGCTGTAGAGAAGGAGTTACAGAGTTGTCTTGATCAGGATCAGCTACTAAACAGAAAATCCACAAGAAAATGGAAAAGAAATTCTCTAGCTTGACTACTGTACAAGATACTGCTGGTCTGCTAGAAATCAGTACTTTCTCCCTACAAGATGGGAGGTGATGTAATTTAAGGTACAGCCTCCTAGAGGATTGTGAATAAAATCAGTATTTTTTCTTGCCCTGCCTAGAGAGTAGAATGCTAAATAAGAACATTGGATGACTTAGCAGCACACAGAAAAAGACTCCATCTAATGTAAATTCAAGCTAAGACATACATTTCCTTCTACAGAAGTAGCACGCTTTCTTGAACTGAAGACCAGCTACTTCCTTTTACCTGCACTCTTTTTTAGATCACAGCTTCTCCTTCATGCCCATCCTCCAATTCTTTCGTTGTCTTTTTAAAAGACTGAAATTTCCAATCCTCAGAATAGAGGGAGGGTTTGGGGCATCTCTTTGTGCCTGTGTGACAAAAGCACCTCATTGTGGAAGTGTGGCTTGATCAGCTTGGCACGCAAGCTGGCATTCACAATCCATCCGCAAAGAGCAGAGGTGGCACGCGTTCAGTCTTGCCTGTAAGTCTCGCCATACCATACCCTTATGATTGCCCACGTGTATGTGGTTCACCCGAAGGGGCTGGTCTTGCTCTCCTAATTTCACAGTACTATGTTTTCCTGTGGGCCCATGGAGGACATGCATGCCTCCATTAAATAAAAGTGGCACACTGTGCAGAATACTGTATTGAGCCTCTGAATTAAATCAAGCTAATTTGCTTGGAAATCTTCCTGTTGATTTCTAAGCAAGTCCTCTTTTAAGTCACAGCAGTAGCTCCAGAATTAATCTATTATATTTCCCCCAATTGTGCCTGTGTGTGTGTATGTACGCTCTTTGGATCCTGCTAAGACCCTGACTTTAAGCTTCCTCAAATACTTCCAACCAGATAATGTGCTTCATTGCTTTTCTAGAGCATCCTCCCCCACTCCCATCCCACAGATGCCTTTAAGATGTATTAGGTATGCTAACGGCCACGTTGGTGGGGAATTCTGGGACTTGCGGTTTCAGTGCATCAGGAGGGCACCAGCGTTGCCAGGTGTAGGATCCTTCCTGATTGCTTTTTCAAGAAATGTAAAATCTAGCTTGTCGTTGAAGTTTTCCATACCAGTGGTTTTGTTCTTCTAGGTTAAGGCAACAGGAGAAGCTCTGGTTCAAGGACTTATGGGCGCTGCTGTTACTGTAAGTAATACCAGACACAGGATTTTCCATGGCTTTTGCTCAGAAACAATTTTCTCCTCAAGCATGCTTCTGCTGTCACAGAATGGAAAAACACATTGCAAAGTATCATGGCTTCTTTAAAAAGGGGGGATATGTGAGATGCCTACATATTGAATTTTCCCAAAATAATTCATATGGATGACTGGTTTTAGCAGAATGCTTTTCATCACAGAATAATCTTTCCAAAAAGAGATACAAATAATGTGTTGCAAGCCTTTTCTCTCAATTAATTCCACCCCAGTTAATTTAAGGAAGAAACATTCATTTATTTTAATGGGATTAGGTTACCTAATAGCAAAATGCAGGAAGGGCGCTTTACTTCCAGCATAACGTTTGGTTACATTTCTTAGCCAGTTCACTCAAGAAGTCTAGGAGTTTGCTCTGTGGAGTTTACTCTTGCCAAGGCATCTTGGCACATCACACCGTAGTTGCACATATTTGAGAGCACATGTTCCTGTTTCCCAAAGCAACAATCAGGTGTTTTGGGGGCCTCTTACATCCCCTATGAAGTGAGATGGAAATGCAAGTTTTGACAAATGCCAGAGGGGGAGGAGGAAGATTGCCCACTGTGTTGATAAGCATTCAAGCAACACTGCTTGAAATCGCTGCTTGGGAGAATCGCCTATATTAAAACGATGAGCAAGATCCCATTTTGCATGCTTGCAGCTTATAACTTTCTCATGGTCTGCCCCCCACCCCTTCTAAAACGGTTTATTGTTTTTGTATCTGACAGATCAAGAATCTCACGGGCCTCAACCAGCGTCGATGAAGCAATTAAACGGGAGCATCTGAGCATCTCTTCCAAGACTTGTAAAGAAATGGTGTCCGTAAATCTCATCACAAGAATATGAAACTGTCACTTATTCTGTACCGCAACTAAAACAAATATACAAGTTCATCTGTCTAATGTAAAAACTTGGCTTTTTTGGAGCCCAGGTAACCACTGGCCACCCTGATGTTTGATTGGCCCAATAGCAATTAAAAAATTAGATTCTATTTTTACCAAAACTCTTCTATCATTTTTGAGAAAATGATAGAAGAGTGTTGGGGTCCAAAATAATTTGAGTTTTGGACCCCAACACCTTTCTTTTCATTTTCTCACCCTGCACATGTTAGTGTATCTTTGGCACAAAAAGGCTTATGTGTTATCGGTGAAATTGGCTAAATTGTCTTCCAGGACCAGTGACAGCACCTCTCAGCTTAAAACCCAGAATTGTGATCTGCTGTTTGTTGACAGTATATTTATGGCGCTGTTGTGAATATATATTTTCCCTGTATGCTTGGACACATCTGTATGTTCATTAAAAAAAATTGAGCATTTTTCAGTGTTTAGCATTCCTGTAGAACAGCATCACAAGAGAGATGCAAGAGGATGTAGGTTCTTGCAGGGGAATAAATAGTTCTTGAAATACAAGCATTTCCACCAGTGGCCATTTTAGGTAAGGCTGGTTCACTCATCTTTAGTTAAACGGCTTCCCTGGAAAAATGAACTGTTGTGTAAGTTATATTGCCTCACATCACCTTAAATACTGTTCAGTGAAGGTAGTTCACACAGAATCAGCTACATCATAAGTTTCTGAATTCTCTTAGATTTCAGTCCAAATGTATCTGGATCACTTCTTAATTCCTGTGTTTCTTGAATGTTGGATCTCGGCTCTCAACAGAACCTTTCATTACAACTCTTACAGTTCAGGGCAAGTCTTTAAATGTTGGAGGAGGGATATAAATCATTCTTCTTCTGGATATGGAAAAATCTTCCATGGGAATTATTGGGAATGCAAGGGAATGTGGGAAGGCTGATAAATCTTTGACCCAAAATATCCCTCCAGACATTCCTTACAATTATCCCTGGACTTCTGTTCATAAGATTTTGAATGCAATTAAGCTTACTCCAAAATAAATTGTACTGAGCACAGTATGGTTTCTCAATAAGCACTCCGTAAAATCCAGCCCTGTGCGTCGCTGTCCTTTTTACAAAATGAATTTAGTCCAGGATAACGGAACCCCGAGGTTGTTTACAGATGGCCGGGCATTTCTGGTTCTTGTCTGCAATTAAAATAAGCTTCGGTTTGCTTATGTGGTGAAGAATTCTAGAACGGATGAAAAATGGCTCTGTCCATAATTACTCAAACGGTTGTTTTGGCCTCAAGGTGATGGATTCTTCACATGAAGAATTCAACTGTACAATATTAAGTGGTTTGGGGATAGAAGTAATGTTTAACAGGATGATTGATTTATGGCTCGTTTTTCTTTGGGGAATATTTTGAAGAATGGTTGTGAACTGCCATATTGGCAACATTGTTAATTAGCTAACTTCAAAAATGCATTTTTCCAGCTCACGGCCCTCACCTGTATCATAAACTGAGGGCCGTTCTGTGAGTTTTTGTTTTAATTAGTTGGGTTACAGAGTCCTGGAGGCTAGGCTGTAAGGGGACTATTTTCGGTGCATTGTGAGAACCCTGCCATTGTCTTGGTAGGTTGCGTGAACCAGAGCATCGCTTTAAAGCAGAATGTGGTGGATCTGGATTAGCACCTGTGTGTTTAACCTGGGGTTAATCTTCAGCAAGTTGTGAATCCACACTGTGGCAAGCCTTCCAACCCTTGATGTCTTGTCTTTTGTTTGCCTTAATTCTCCCTGCAAGTATTTCGTGTTATTTGAAACTCAGAACCCAAACTGATGGCTCCTTGCTAGCATTACATTACCACCTGTACTTA